GGGGGAGGGGGTCTACCGGGGGGGGACCTGGCACAAGGAAGAGCGGTGGCGGGGGGAGGGACGGAGTGCGGTAGGGGAAGAGGCGGTAGTAGGGGACCGACTCGTCAAACGTGACGTCCTGGGAGGATAGAACACGGCGAGAGGTGGGGTGGTAGAACTGCCACCCTGGCGCGTCAGGGGGGAAGTCAAGGAAGACGCAAGGAGCAGCACGAGGGGACAGCTTGTCCGCAGACAAGTCGCGGACAAACGCCCGAGATCCCCAGACACGGAACGCAGACGCATCGCCAACCTTCCCCGTCCACAGCAAAGCTGGGGAGGTCTCCGGCATGGAGACCCTGGGGTGAAGGTTGATCTGATGCGCCGCGTACCGAACCGCAAACGGCCACAGAAAATGGGGGGCAGCCGCATGCATCATGGACGTACGGGCGACGTCCATGACCATGCCAATGCGGCGCTCAGCAATCCCATTTTGCTGTGGAGAGTCCGGAAGCGTGAAGGTCTGGCGGATGCCTCGTGCACGACAGTAGGCTCGCAGAAGGCCAGAGGAGAACTCTCCACCTCTGTCAGAGTGCAGACACAGAACAGGAAAGTCCGAGCCGAAGCTCTGCCTGAGCTGGAGACGAGCTGCGCGGATCCAGTCGATCAACACCTCAGTGACATCACCCTTGCTGCGCAAGGGGAAGACCGTGGTGTAACGCGAGTAGTCGTCAACCACCAGCAGGAAGTAGCGCTCGTGACCCTGTCCACGGACGCGGGCCGGGCCCCACACGTCCATGTGAAGCGTCTGCAGCGGGGCCTCTGTCGGAGGAAACTGGGAGGAGTGAGGGGCAGCCCGCTGCCGCCCCTCGACACAAGGGACGCAGGTAGGGCCGGGCCCCGGAGGAAGGGGAGGGAGGGACCGGGGAAGACCAGAGACAAGGACACGGGAGGCCATGCCTCGGAGACGAAGCAGGGAGGGGTGACCAAGGCGGTGGTGCCAGAGGAGAGTCTCGTGCGACAGGAGGCGACACGAACAGGGGGCAGACTCAGGACCAGACCTGGACGCTGCAGCAAACACCTGACCCGACGCAGCTACCTGACCAGACGCAGTGACTGGAGGAGACGCAGTGGTCAGTGTGTACAGGCTCGACCCCGGCCGACGTGTAAACGTGGCCAGGTGTCGGCCTGTCCGAGCGTCCGTGCAGTGGGTCACCCGCTGACTCGCAGGAGTGAACTGGTGAACCCCCGCATCCTGTAGGTCAGCACCACTCACCAAGTTCGTAGAGAACGAGGGGAGGTAAAGACCAGACAGGGTGCCAGAGGGGGCCGCCGGACACGGGAGGACAGTGGAGAAGTGAGCAAGGACAGGACCCCCAGAGGGGTCTGCCAGAGAGACTGCAACTGGCCGGCCAAGTGGCGTGAGTGTGGTGCGGTCTCGAAAGAAGGAGCAAGAAGCCCCCGAGTCAAGGGTGAAGGTGTGGGAGGCCGAAGCCGACGCAGTACCTGAGAGAGCAGACTCACCAGCACCTGAGTGAGCAGACGCACGAGCACCTAGAGCAGCAGCCTCGCTAGCACCTAGAGCAGCAGCCTCACCAGTACCTAGAGCAGCAGTCTCAATGCCCGGGTCGGGCGGAAAACACCGGTAACAGTCACCCTCATCACTAATAGTCACAGCATACATGGCAGCAAGAATAGCATCAAAGTCAAGGTCAAAGACAGCTACACCCGCCCTAGACAGCTCGCCCCAGCGGGGGATCTCAGTGGCCTCAGGGAACTGGTGACACCAAGCGTCCGTCAGGCGGCCAAAGCAGCGCTGGGTGGAGTGCGCACCCCCGCACTGCTCACCCGCGCGGTCGCCGGTGCGTAGGACGTAGGTGCACGGACCAGTACCCCCACCCCGCTGGCGTGCAGCGTACCACTCACGGAGCTGCTGAGGGGGGGGGATGTCACGAGTGCGCTGCTGCCGCTGCTGCTGCTGCTGCTGGCGCTGACCACCACCGGAGCCGACCCTCTGCCCAGCGCCACCCCGACCAGCTCCACCTCCTCCGCCGCCGCCTCCTCCACCGCCGCCACCTCCGCCACCTCCGCTCCCACCGCCACCGCCGCCGCCGCCTCCGCCTCCACTGCCGCCACCGACACCTCCACCCCCGCCACCTCTCCCACCACCACCCCCACCCCCTCCACTGCCGCCACCGCCACCTCCGCCACCCCCGCCAGCCCCTCCAACACCCTTGCCCCCCTTGCCCTTGCCGGTGCGGCGTCTCCCGCTCGGGGCAGACGCAGCGCCGACCGACTCGAGACCAACGAGGTCGGCCGCAGCAGCAGAGGCAACAGAGGTCAAAAGGGGGGAGGGGGAACACCCCTCAAAGACGGGGGTGCGAGGGTCACCACGAGAGGCTCCTACAGCGACTATGCTCTTCTCTGCTGCTAGGAGGGCCTTCTCGAGGAGGTCAACGGTGAGAGTGGTGGGGCAAACTGAGAGGAAGTGGTCCCTGACTACGCGAAGGGAGTCAGGGAGCCGGGTGACTATGTAGTAGAGGGTGATGTACATGGGGGGGGGGGGGGGTTCTTGGCGCAGAACTCAGCAGGAAGCGCAGCGCGGTAGCGAGTGTCACTAGTGCGGAGGTGCGTAATGAGGTCAGCGACTGTGGGAAAGGCAGCAAGGTCAGGGAAGAGGTACGGTAGCATGAGGCGGCTCAGTGCAGCAGTGGCAGGGGAGGAGTAGCGCGCAACTACAGCGTCGTACAAGGTGTGAGCACTCTTGTACTGGCTAAAGTGCGCACGCTCAGAGGTAGGCAGGTGGCGACGCACAGCTAGACGTGCAGCAGCATCGCGTGTGGCCCACTGTGAGCGAACAGTGGCGTCGGCATCAGCAGCAGGGGCAGGAGAGGCACCAGAGGTGAGGTCAAAGAGGGAGAGACCGTCTGCCCTATCGCACTGTAAGAAAAGCTGCAGGTCATCTATCCAGACGTCAAAGTCAATGGCCCGACCCTCAGCGTCAAAGGCGAGGACACTAGGGGTAGCCATGACAGCAGTAGACTAGCAGTGCGAACAGTAGGGTAAGGGCAGTGCAGTGATAGAGGCGCTGCTCTTACCGGACAGGGCGGCTCGGGCGGCTCGGCGGCTCGGCAGGACGGCGGGTCGGCGACACGGCGGCTCGGGCGGCTCGGCGGCTCGGGCGGCTCGGGCGACTCGGCGGCTCGGGCGGCTCGGGCAGCTCGGCAACTCGGCGGCCCGGGCGGTTCGGCGGTCGGCTGCTGAGCGGCTCGGCGGCTCGGCTGCTCGGCTGCAGGACGGCTCGGCGGCTCGGGTGCTCGGCTGCTGGGCGGCTCGGCGGCTGGTGTGGTTGGTGACGACCGCGGCAGCAGTCGCAGAAGCTGTGGCGACTGCTGCTGCAGAGACGGCTGCGGCTGCTGCCTCAGGGACGGCGGCTGCCGGCCGCTAGGGGCCGCGAAGAGCGGCGGAGAGGCCGTGAAGGGCGCCACCAAGGGCCGTCGAGGGCGGCGACAGGCCGTGAGGAGGCCGCGGAAGGCGGCTCGAGGGGCCGCGAGGGGGGCCGTAAGGGGCCGACTGGCGACGGGAGGGGCCGAAGGGGCCGCGGGGGGGGGGGGCCCGTAAGGGTAGCGCGAGGGGCCGTAAGGGCGGCACAAGGGGCCGTGAGGGCGGCGCGACGGGCGCGACGGGCCGTGAGGGCGGCGCGACGGGCCGTAAGGGCGGCACGAGGGGCCGTGAGGGCGGCGCGACGGGCCGTAGGGGCGGCGCGACGGGCCGTAAGGGCGGCGCGACGAGCCGTAAGGGCGGCGCTAGGGAGCCGTGAGAGGGCCGCTAAGGGCGACGCGACGGGGCCGTGAGGGGCCTAGCGAGGGCGCGATGGTAGGGAGAGCACACAGGGCGCGACTCGGGCCGGAGCGAAGCGCGCTCCGGGCAGGAAAAAAAAAATTCGTGGTGGTGGGCCCTAGGAATCGTTCCCACTAGGGAACCTGCTCGATACCATGAGATGAAACGAGGAATGGAATGACTAAGGGAAAGTTGGGTACAAATGTAAACCCTAGAAAACTGTACCCCATATGTGCTACCCCACTATAGCCTACAGTAGCTATGTCATATAAATCTGACAATACGAGTACTCATCGTCGAACGAAGAGGAGGACTAAGACGACGTGCGGCCTCTGCGGAGCACGAATCCACTCACGTTGGAGAAACGAATTAGAGGGGAACAATAATACATAGACGACCAGTTGGACCAGGACGAGGAAGAGGTCGAGCTCAACATGGCGGTGCCACGCTCACAATGGAAGGCGACAGACTTCGTCGAGGATGATATAGTCAACACGTGCGTCGACGTACTAGTATTGGATGCACTACGCCATCTACAGAACCTGGAGAGAAAGAGCACCCTCAGGCTGTACACCTCGTGGATATACCACTACAAGAGGTGGGCGGCGAAGTTTCTCAAGGAAATACACGACAAGCTTCCCAAGGAGCATAGACTGAGGCACGTCGACAAGATAGGCCACTACATACGCGATAACAAGAGAAAGGATTGGGACAGTGAGAAAGAGGTCTCGCGGGAGTTCATCTGGCTGCACGGCCTGCGGGTCACTGAAACACGGCCGCGCGCCTACGTGAAGTTCATGAGGCGTGAGTGTAACCTTGATGCCGAGTCAGTCGAAGAGGGGAACACTACATCACGTACTCAGTCGGTTAAAGCAACCACGGTGCACACGCTCCTCGGTCGCATCAAGGCATGCCAGATGGCGGCGAGGGTGGATGGCGGGAGAAGGAGCTAGCCCTCATGCGGGAAATCTTGGTGGTCAGATTGGAGGTGCGGGTGATGGTCCGCACCAAGAACAACAGGGACATCAAGTAATTTTGTCGACATTGCCATTGTCAATATGTCATCGCTTTGTAGTAGAAGATGCCAACATAACATGTCATGTGGCTTCCTGAGAAGAAACTGCGCCGACCAGCGTCGCGGCACCATCGGCGACACCTACATCGCCGAACAGTTCCGCCAAATCATGACCAGGGTCCTGCCGACCTGGGCGGCGTCGGCGTGGAACCCGCGGGGAACCGTACCTTCGCAGACGTTGTGCAAGTTTCTGTTAATCAAGGGGCAGACCCTCCTCTCCCACCACACTCTCCTGCGCGGTGCCAGCATCCGCGAGATCACGCTCTCCGACATCTTCCTGTACCGACTGGCGAGTACCTCATCGGTTAACCCGAACAACCAGCCCGTCGTCATGGTGATTGCCACGCGGAACTCGAAGACGTCCAAGGATGCCCGTCTCCAGCAAAGCTACGCGGCGAGACACTTGGAAGCGGAGTTGTGCGCCATCGGCGAGACCGGCCTGTGGTTGCTCTACATCCTCGACCAGATCGGTCAGACGCACGGCGTCGACTTCCTCCCGCCGCTGGACACCCGAGCGCCAGCGCTGTTACAAGAAGCACCTCTTCGTCGCCCACAACGACAAGGTGCAAAACGAGCTCCCTGCTGCCAGCCACCAACGATGGACGTGGCAGTTGTGGACGACCAACAAGGTGTTCTGCAAGCGGAACGTGCACGCCACACGTGCCGGAGGGGCGCAAGAGCTTGCCATGGAAGGGACGCCGCGCGCCGAGATAGCCGAGCTGGGTCACTGGGCACTCGACAAGATGACGTGAGCTTACATCACCGCCATTCCCGTCGGGGTGGTGATGAGGAAGGCCGGCTACTCGGGATCCAAACAAGACTACTTCTTGGGCCGCAGCAGGGTGGAGCCCTCCGACGAACTCAAGGACATCATCGCCGAGCACATCTTCCCCAACGTCAATGACCTGTTGCGCAAGGTATGTTAAGCCACGCCGACATAGTCTCGTCATGGTATCGTCCAACCGTCCTTGCCTAACCACCGACTTTACCTACCGACTTGCAGGCGGAAGATCGTGCAGTCGAGGGGTCAGACGCCAACATTGCAGCGGTGCACTTCTGGCGAACCCTCCAGATGATGCGCCGGATCATCGCCGAGGACCTCGCGGTGAGTCTCGTCCGAACACCCTGGCACCCGTACGTCCAAGGATCCAAGCTCTGCCGGATTGCTCTCTTCCAGCACTTGGCGAAAAGGATCGAGAAGGTCGACACCGAAACGATCCAGAAGCGCCACGATTCGACCGTCCCGCAGCCACAGGTAAACCATTTCATACAGTCGGCGTATCCCCTCTACAAAATGAACTACAACCCCTAACCGCCAAGTCTTTCGTCGACCCGTGCAGGAAATCTCTCTCCGCTTTGACGCCGAACACGAGGTGAAAGTCCTCCGCCAGATGCTGACGTATGAGAGGGAGCGCACCACAGTCGAGAAGATCGACCCCCAGGACGTGATCGAGAAGCGCAACAATACCATCGCGACGCTGGTCGCCGAGGTAACCCGTCTCACTGAGGCACTCCGTGTGTCGGAAGCACGGAGGATGCCGGAGGCACCGCCAGCGGCGAACGAGCCACCGCCGAGCGATGGTGGTTCCGCTGATTCGGCAAATACGGGGGCCAGAGCCAAGCAATGGGATGAGAAACCCGAGAAACCCCCACAGACGGTCGACGAGGCTCGTTACGAGCTCAACGTGGTCCAACCTTGGAGGGAGGCAGAGACCGTGAGGGACGTGTGGCGCCTCTGGAGCTGCACCACCGCCGAGGACACCCGTCGTCTGTGCGACAGGATCACCGAGCCGGGATTCGACGACCGCCACACCCTCCTCGCCGGTGCGACGCATGGTGCACACGAAATGAAGGTGCGCCGCATGCTGAAGGCCACGGATGCAGTTTGCCTCCTTCGCCCGAGCGACGGCGAGGCCGACACCGAAGCCGTCGTCGATGCACTCAACAAAATCGCAGCGTCGGGCATTGGGACCTTCTGCGATGCCCTCACGGTGCTCAAACCGGGAACCGGACCGACTTACTCCCAGGAGCCTGGCATGGGCGTCAAGGGGCTAAGCAGGACGGCCGCGAAGCTACGTGTCGCGTTTGCGCTGGTGGCGCACAACTTGAAGACGAAAGAGTGGGTCGCCGCCCTGTTTCCAGACACCTGGGAGGAGCAGATGCCGAAGGCCGAGGCCGACATGGTCAAGCAGAGTGCCGCTAAGCAGTGGCCTCCGACTAAGACGCCGTCGAAGCGTAAGAAGACGGGGTGAATGGACGTGGTGCATGTGCGTGTGCGTTTTTACATGCTGTAATTGTGGACTACCGATACAATGTCATGTTTGTACGTTGTGCCAGCAAACCTTGGAGCGTCGCCCTAAACCCTGCGTCGATCGGTGGGTAACTAACGGTCGACGCCGACTAATACATACGCTACTCACTTGAGGCCGAATCCCAAGCAACGGGCGTTGAGCTCCTTCTTATGGTCTACTAGGACGTCGTAGTCGTGTTTGTCGAAGGTAATAGATGTTGAGACTAAGCCCTGCACGCGCCTGGTTTCACGTGTAGCAGCCCTATGTGGAGTAGCGAGACTTCGCATACCGCATACCGGTTTTACCTGTATTGCGGAATTCGCCAAGTACACTCCAATCTGTGCGCTTCGGTATGCACGTTTCGACATTGGACCAGGGAAGTGACGACATTGCACAAACGCGTATGTGCAACTGTCAGTGTTGCAAGAACCTGCGCAACTACTCCTGGGCAGGTAGAAATACATCTGATGGTGTTTTCACCTGATGGTATTTTCACCTGGCGGTCCCAACATGGAACCGCATACTTGCGTAGGTGCTTGCACATTCTCCTTGAACAACGTTCTTCATGAACGACGTTCTCGTAGAACGTTCTCGCACACGTCACTATGTTTCTCTATAAGGTTCATGTTGTTCATGTTGTAATCTATCAATATTATCAATTAATCAATTTCGTTCCTTCAGTTACTACATACCAACCTTGGCATCTGTATTCGGTTTCCAACAAGTCTGTATTCGGTTCACACGCATCCGCCTTGCAACTCTGCGCCTAGGCTCTCCCACAATCGCCTATTCTCCGCATGGTGCGGTGAGCATGGACGCATACGCGAACTTCAGATAACCTCGTATACGTTTGATGAAGTTGTCAACCTTGAGCTGGCAGCCACATCGATTCCGTATGGCTGGCGAGGGCGCCGCTACGGAAGTCATGGACCTGGAAGCGCAGGCCGCTGCTTTGCAGGAGCGCCATAGCGATGGCGAAATCAGTGACGCGGATTTGGAGCTGATGATCGAAGGAGCTCGTGCAAAGTGGGCTCGCGATCACCCACCTCCTCGTGCTGATGCGGAAATTGAGTCCGCTTCTCCCCGTGCTGAAGGCAAAACCGTAAACATCGATGGCAATGAAGGCGCAGAAGTTACGCGCAGTGAACTGCGAGGAGCCATCAGAGTGAACACCGCGAGCGTTGGTGGAACGCAAGCGCAAGTCCTGCGGTCAGCCGCTGCAACGAGTGCGCGTAGTGACGCGGATGCTCGTCGCAACGCTGCACGACGAAGCACTGGCGGACATTCGTGGATGGAAAATGCATCAATTGTACGCGATGGTGCCATCGCTCTAGAATACGGATACTTCAAGTTCTTGTCAGATTTATATGACATAGCTACTGTAGGCTATAGTGGGGTAGCACATATGGGGTACAGTTTTCTAGGGTTTGGTTCTTGTACCCAACTTTCACTTAGTCATTTCATTCCTCATTTCTTCTCATGGTATCAGAGCAGGTTCCCTAGTGGGAACGATTCCTAGGGCCCACCACCACGAATTTTTTTTTTTTTCAGGTAGCTGCGTCGGGTCAGGTAGCTGCGTCGGGTCAGGTGTTTGCTGCAGCGTCCAGGTCTGGTCCTGAGTCTGCCCCCTGCTCGTGTCGCCTCCTGTCTCACGAGACTCTCCTCTGGCACCACCGCCTTGGCCACCCCTCCCTGCTTCGTCTCCGGAGCATGGCCTCCCGTGTCCTTGTCTCTGGTCTTCCCCGGTCCCTCCCTCCCCTTCCTCCGGGGCCAGGCCCTACCTGCGTCCCCTGTGTCGAGGGACGGCAGCGGGCTACCCCTCACTCCTCCCAGTTTCCTCCGACAGAGGCCCCACTGCAGACGCTTCACATGGACGTGTGGGGCCCGGCCCGCGTCCGTGGACAGGGTCACGAGCGCTACTTCCTGCTGGTGGTTGACGACTACTCGCGTTACACCACAGTCTTCCCCTTGCGCAGCAAGGGTGATGTCACTGAGGTGTTGATCGACTGGATCCGCACAGCTCGTCTCCAGCTCACGCGGAGCTTTGGCTCGGACTTTCCTGTTCTGCGTCTGCACTCTGACAGAGGCGGAGAGTTCTCCTCTGGCCTTCTGCGAGCCTACTGTCGTGCACGAGGCATCCGCCAGACCTTCACGCTTCCGGACTCTCCACAGCAAAATGGGATTGCTGAGCGCCGCATTGGCATGGTCATGGACGTCGCCCGTACGTCCATGATGCATGCGGCTGCCCCCCATTTTCTGTGGCCGTTTGCGGTTCGGTACGCGGCGCATCAGATCAACCTTCAGCCCAGGGTCTCCATGCCGGAGACCTCCCCAGCTTTACTGTGGACGGGGAAGGTTGGCGATGCGTCTGCGTTCCGTGTCTGGGGATCTCGGGCGTTTGTCCGCGACTTGTCTGCGGACAAGCTGTCCCCTCGTGCTGCTCCTTGCGTCTTCCTGGGTTTCCCCCCTGACGCCCCAGGGTGGCAGTTCTACCACCCCACCTCTCGCCGTGTTCTGTCCTCCCAGGACGTCACGTTCGACGAGTCGGTCCCCTACTACCGCCTCTTCCCCTACCGCACTCCGTCCCTCCCCCCGCCACCGCTCTTCCTTGTACCAGGTCCCCCCCCGGTAGACCCCCTCCCCCCTCAGGGTCCTGCCCCTTCAGGTGTGTCCCAGGTAGACGCTGTTGAGCCTGTCGAGGTCGCTGGTGACTCTGGTGCTGCTGAGGGTGCTGAGCCTGGGGGTGCTGACTCTGGGGGTGCTGAGCGTGTGGGTGCTACGCCTGGGGGTGCTGAGCCTGGGGGTGCTGAGCCTGGGGGTGCTGAGTCTGGGGGTACTACGACTGGGGGTGCTGAGCCCGGGGGTACTACGCCTGGAGGTGCTGAGCCTGGGGGTGCTGCGTCTGAGGGTGCTGAGCCTGGGGGTACTACGCCTGGAGGTGCTGAGTCTGGGGGTGCTACGCCTGGTGGTGCTGTGCCTGGCGGTTCACCGGGTGCTCCCTCTCGCCGAGAGCCACTCTCTCCCCAGGAGCTGCGTGAGTGGTTTGCCCGGCGCTGGAGGCGAGCTGCTGGAGCTGCTGGAGCTGGAGGTGCTGCGGGTACTGGAGGTTCTGTTGCTTCTGAGGGAGCTGGTGCCACGGGTCCCGGAGGTGCTCGTACTGGGAGTACTGGAGCTGCTGGACCTGCGGGTACTTCTGGAGCTGGAGTTGCTGCGGGTGTTGGCGCGGAGGCTACTGCTGTCGGTCCTGGAGGCGGTCCTGCTGGGGGTACTACTAGTGCTGCTGGGGGTTCTGGAGCTGGAGCTGCTACTGGTGCTGGTGCTGCCCCTGCGGGTGCTGGTGCTGTCCCTCCTGTGTCAGGAGTCGCCGCGCGGCCTCGGCCGTACTTCGTTCCGCTCCTTCAGCAGGTTCTTGGTCTCCCGCCTTCTACTGGTCCTCCTCCTCCCTTAGAGTGTCCACAGCCTGTCCCGTCGCAGTTACAGTTACAGCCGGCCTCCCCACTGCCTGCTCCGTCTCCCTACACTGGTCCTACTGGAGGTCTTGCTGAGCGTCGTGAGCCTGCGTCTCGCCCAACGTCGCCAGTCTTGTTGCTGAGTCTGAGTCTGTCTGTCCTCCGTCCGTCGGGGGTGAGTGTGCCCTTAGCACGGACGTCCTTGAGGACAGGCAGGAGGAGTTCCAGTGCTTGGCCGCTGCTTCACCTCATCTCGTGTCCGTACTGCTTACCCCTGAGGGAGACCCGGATGCACTTGACATCCCGACTCCGCGCTCTTACGCGGAGGCGATAGAGGGTCCCTACTCCTCTCAGTGGCAGGCAGCTATGGACGCAGAGATGGCTTCCTGGAAGTCCACAGGCACCTACGTTGACGCTGTTCCCCCTCCCGGGGCGAACATCGTCAGTGGCATGTGGATTTTCAGGGTGAAGCGACCGCCGGGTTCTCCGCCTGTCTTCAAGGCGCGTTACGTGGCTCGTGGCTTCAGTCAGCGGCAGGGAGTTGACTACTTTCAGACCTTCTCTCCCACCCCGAAGATGACCACTCTTCGGGTACTGCTGCACGTAGCTGCTCACCGTGACTACGAGCTACACTCTCTTGACTTCAGCACTGCTTTCTTGCAGGGCAGCCTGCACGAGGAGATCTGGCTGCGTCGCCCACCTGGCTTCACTGGGTCTTTTCCTCCTGGCACCCAGTGGAGCCTACGGCGGCCAGTCTACGGTCTCCGCCAGGCACCGCGTGAGTGGCACGACACACTGAGGACTACACTTGCAGCTCTTGGGTTTGCTCCCTCTACTGCCGACCCGTCGCTGTTTCTGCGCACCGACACTTCTTTGCCGCCGTTCTACATCCTCGTGTACGTCGACGACTTGGTCTTTGCCACAGCTGACACTACTGGACTAGCCCACGTGAAGTCCGAGCTGCAGAAGAGACACACGTGCACTGACCTGGGTGAACTGCGCAGCTACCTTGGCTTGCAGATCACTCGGGACAGAGCACGCCGCACCATTACCCTGACTCAGTCACACATGGTGCAGCAGGTCCTTCAGCGCTTCGGCTTCACGTACTCCTCGCCTCAGGCCACTCCTCTGCCTACTCGCCACTCGCTCTCAGCTCTGCCTTCGGATGAGTCCGTAGAGTCGAGTGGCCCGTACCCAGAGCTTGTTGGCTGCCTCATGTACCTGATGACCTGCACACGACCTGACCTTGCATACCCTCTTAGCATTGTTGCACGCTATGTTGCTCCTGGGAGACACAGACCGGAGCACATGGCTGCAGCGAAGAGGGTGTTGCGCTACTTGTGCAGTACGTCGGGCATGGGGCTTGTGCTTGGAGGGCAGAGTCCAGTGGTCCTTACTGGGCACGCAGACGCTTCTTGGGCTGACGACCAGGCTACGCAGCGGTCGTCACAGGGTTACACCTTCAGCCTTGGTTCCGGCTCTGTTTCGTGGCGGGCTACTCGCTCGTCTTCT